ATTTTCTGCTATCAAGTTGTCCTCTATGTCCTGAAACATCTCCAAGCTGAAGAACAGAAGAGTGGCAAATAAAATACCAGAGCCTGAAGTGCTTTAAAAAACAAAACAAAAGGGGGCAACAAAAGCAGAGGTTCCTGCATATTTTGTTCATTCTGCCAATATTAGTCCAGTCCTTTTCTTCATTCTCTATCAACCATCTCTTCTATGCAGTCTGTCCTTCATGCCACTTATAGTACATGGTAAAGGGCAAGACAATGCAGTACCACTACTCCCTCCCCCCCATCCCATAGTTTTGGGGTTCTTTATGTACCAGGAAAAATAATATTTAATAAAGTTGCATTTTTGCAGCTTCCTTACTCTCCGATAAATGACTGAAGTAAAAATGTTTTAATTAAAAATTGTAATAATGCCTTCTGTGGGTATGCAACTATTTTTTAGTATTTGTTTCTGCTGCAGTGGGAGGAGGGTGGGAAAATAAGGCAGTATTTTATCCTGGTGGATTTTCTTACAGGGACATTTTATTAGTCTATTTTAAAAGCTTGTTTATAGCAGATCTCACTTTTTCAGCATTTTGATATAGTAGAGCGATTTTATAGGGAATACTTGAAATCAGTATTTAAGCTTTACAAGCTTTACACCTATTAGCCTAGAAAAGAGTAGTGAATGTTTACTGTAAGTATCACAGTTTATAATGTTTACTTCATAAGAGTTTCATGTATATATTTATATACTTTTACATAAAAAAGCTGAATTATCAGGTGCCTAAACTTATAACTGATTAGGCATTTCCACTGTGTAAATAAAAATACACTTTAAAATGTATGTAGGTGTGTTTTATGTCCACGAGATGTCTGTTTGTCTGTCCTTACGCTGCAATCTTCACTGTGCTATCTGAGCACCTTATGTTTCAAATCAAATGGGCATATACCTTAGATCTTACTTTCCGTTTCTTCCCCTGCCCAAAGCTAATGTGTGTTTAGTTGTTGGAGGTTTAAAACAACAACATATATTCAGTATGGAACAGCACTCTGCACACTCTGTGATAAGGTGTACTAAGTAGCAGTTGCACTGCATCTCACATTTCAGGGTAAAAGCTGGGCTGAGAGACCTGTGAATCTGCCGTCTTTCATTCCCAAATTATCAGCCTGCAGAGATCTTGTATCCCAAAACTGAGACCCTGGGCATTTTAATTGACATAGCAACAGCCCAGCTTAAAAATAAGTAGAGCTTTTTTTCTTGTCTCATCAGTAGAACGATCAGCCTTGTTACAGAAATCATACGTGGCGTATCCAGTATCCAGTGAACCATGACAGCTGAGGAAATATATTGCTTAAGCTGCAGTGTAGTGTTGTTGGGATTCCCTCAGAGATCTTTTCCATTTGGCTTATTCAGAACACCTTGTCCAGTTCTGGGAGAACACGCCATCCAGTTCTCTTCTCTGGGATCCAAAACACTCAGTTTGACTCTGGATTTCATCATGCAGGGTCCTTTATTTGTCAGACAGCAAAGCTACACTGAGTTGATCAGACTCAAGCAGAGGGGATGGGTATAGCCCAGGCATACCACACATTCAGAATTACAGACAACCTCTTCCTTTATACACATGACATTGTATTAGCTATACATTACACCACATATTTTTGGAGTGGCTTTCTTACTTTGCAGGAACCAGTCCCTGTGCAGCATGCTCTGTCCATGTGCTTTTCCCGTGGAACCTGATCTTTACATTCCAGTTTTATCTTGGCCATAGTCCCTAGCATCAAGGTGTTGGTGCTTATCTTAGCTAGCACAGACATCCTGACTCCAACATACTGTTTGTCAAGCCCCTATTTGCAACTTAACCTTCCATTCACCTTCACAATTATGCCCACTAAGAAATTAGGCAAGTTACTTATGTGAAGCCAGGCCTACACGTGTGATGGAACAATTCAGGATAGATCATGAGAAAGGGAAGAGAGATTGAACAGTTAGGTCATATTGTGGAACAATGCACCATTCTGAAAGGAATCAAAAATGAAGACTTAATATATTTCAGGAATGGAGTTGTCAATGGGTAGTGTAGTTAATGTAAAGCAAATGAATATAGTCAGAAAAAATGCTAGTTATTGTTTTGACTTAACCAGTGGATGCAGCATTTTGGGCTTTTTAGGAAATAAAATGATGGTATTGAGGTGAAGGCTGCCAAGGTGGCACCCAGCAAGCCTAATCAGTCTTCTTTGTGTAGTAATTGCCTATTAATTTCTTTAAGTTGCTTGTTCTGGGGCTTGCCTAGGGGCAGGGCCGGCTCCAGGCACCAGCCGACAAAGCATGTGCTTGGGGCGGCACCTTGTAAGGGACGGCCAATCTTCGGATGGCGGGGCGGCGCTCGGGGTTTGGTGTGCTTTGTTTTTGGTTTGGCAGGGTGGTGCTCAAGATTTTTTTTGTTTGTTTCGGTGGCGCGGCGCTCGGGGGGGGTGGTTTTGGCGGCACAGTGCTCGGGGGGGGGTTGTTTCGGTGGGGCAGGGCGGCGGTCGGGGGGGGTTGTTACGGTGCTTTTTTTTTTTTGCTTGGGGTGGCAAAAAAGTTAGAGCCGGCTCTGCCCATGGGGAATGGGTTTTTGCTTTTTTGTTTGTTTGTTTTTTGTGTTTTTTTGTTGTTGTTGTTGGTTTTGTTTTTTTAATTTCCCACCGGTGAGCGTGATTGGCCCCTGGTTGCGCAACCTACTTTAAAAAAAGCTTTAAAAGGCTGCTTGCTGCGCAGTTTATTCAGCATACAGGAGAGAAGTGTAATTAGTGTGAGGAGCTGCTCTCCTACAGAAACAGTTACGCCCTCCTGAAGGAGATGGGGTAGGGCTGGATCTTACCACTGGAAACTTCCTACATCTGAATGGATAAAACCTCAACAAAAGGACTAAACACTCTTATTGCTCGGCTTGCCTCCCCGTGAAGCTGAGTCATGCAAGGGGACTCCTCCCATCAGCTGAGGTTGCAGCTTAGAGCACCTGGCAGAAGGGGAATAAAAACCCCAAACCAAAGGAACGAAGCATCCTACTCTCTCTACCAATATGGTGCTGCTGCATGTCTGAAGATGGAATTTGGGGACCACAGTAGGTCTTTAGGGCTTGATCCAAAACTCACTGAAGTCAATAGAGTCCTATTGATTTTCGTGAGCTTAGATGGCTTTCTCAGTGAAATTTTGAGAGGAAAACTAAGAAACATGAGAGAAGTTCTGTTTAATAATTACCCCAATATCTGAGAGAATTTGATTACAATTGACTACACTGTCACTTTTAGGTTAGACCCAACACTTGGGCTTGCTTATTTTTTAAAACAGGACACACAGAAACTCATATAGAAATCTGTCTTAAATTAAACTTGGATTAGAGGGCTCTAAAAATGGCACCTTCCTATTCAGCTGACCCTGCTCCCTGAGTCAAATTCTCCCTCAATTCAACAATGTCAAATCATAGTAACTAATGAAGTTATTCTAGATTTAGACTGTGACAGCAGAATTTGGCCCAAAGAACAAATCACTTTAATCGCAAAGTGCTGCTTTTACAGTCATGTTAAGTCAATGGAGTTACTCTGATTCAACACTGATTTAACTAAGAACAGAATTTGGTCTTTTTTTTTTTTATCTTGGCAGTGTCCCTTTAAGCAGTGAAAAAATAAGATTTCATGGAATTATTGCAAACCTCAGAGAGACCCAATTCAGGAAAGCACTTGAATACCAACTTAACTATAAGTAAAAAGCAACAGAGGGTCCTGTGGCACCTTTAAGACTAACAGAAGTATTGGGAGCATAAGCTTTCATGGGTAAGAACCTCAATTCTTCAGATGCAAGTAACGAAAGCTTATGCTCCAATACTTCTGTTAGTCTTAAAGGTGCCACAGGACCCTCAGTCTGAATCTGTAAAAAGCAACAAACACGGCTACCCCTCTGATACTTAACTATAAGCAAGTAATTAACCCATTGACTTCAGTGGCATTTAAACATGTAAGTACCGTGCTGAATAGAATTGCTTTTCTGAATCAGGCCAAAAAGATATACTTAAGGCCTTTCTCCAAATCAAAATTAACATACTCTTGAGAACTGAATCCTTTGCTAAAACTGTAAGTTACGAACACATCATATGCAATCTCATTTTCTAGATCAGAGGTGGGCAAACTACAGCCCAAGGGCCACATCCAGCCCACAGGACTGTCCTGCCTGGCCCTTGAGCTCCTGCCCGGCCGGCTAGCCCCTGGCCCCTCCCCTGCTGTTCCCCCTCCCATGCAGCCTCAGCTCGCTGTGCTGCCAGTGCTCTGGGCAGCGGGGCTGCAAGCTCCTGTGGGCAGCACAGCGGCGCAGCTGGCTCTGGCCGGGCGGAGCGGCTGCCAGTCCTGTTGCTCTGTTGCTCTGAGCATCATGGTAAGGGGGTGGAGGTGTTGGACAAGGAGGAGGAGGAGGGTCCGGGGGGGGGGGCGAATCGGGACAGGGAGCAGGGAGGCGGTTGGATGGGGT